ATTCCATAGGGAATTTTCACTTTGACGCGTGATTTATTTCTAGTGAATTTATGGACGTTTCGCAAGAACGTCACTTCTTGCTCCGCGCTCGTTTTACTACGTGTGCCTTTAAACGCGGATTTGGATTTGTTGATTTCATCAGAATCTCGGGATAGAATGGTGTTTTATGGGTACAAACTGGGACATAGATATGTGGGTCTTTTTATGGTGAATTATGGCACAGCTAAAATGGACACTCGTTCTAAAATGGAATTCCCTTTTACTCGAGTGGATAGCCATAGAGCTTGTGGAGAAAGTCGAAGATGAATATTGGAATGATACAGCTGAAGACGCTGCGTACAGAGAAGATCTCTCTGGACAGGAAATGAGCAATTAGGCTCGCGTCACTTTATCTCTCTGCGATATATACATATACACACACAAGCTAGTGTTATCCTAAAATTCCCTAGAGACCCCTAGTTGCCCTGCCATTACTTCCAGTTTAATGTTGCATAGTAAACCCATACGACCCCATTAAAATCTCTAATACAATACCTATATCAGCCCGTATACCCGTGGTAAAGGTACATCGGCTGATCTAACGGAGTTATGATACCTGAAGATACACTACACCCTAGTATACCTATACACCAGACAGTAGATACCATTAGTGCAGAGTCATGAAAAACAATTGATCTCCCCTGCCACGTTCAATTTACCCGCTATCGCTAATCGCAATTACATTCCTTATCCGCGCATTATCTATACGCCCGATCGTTTCTACCAGTACGATAAACGATCTCGCGGACGATCGTAATCGCGCTTAATCGAACGGAATAACCGCAATCTCTGACCCTTCAAAAGACATCGGAATAATTTAGCGCGGGATACACCTAAAGCTAATCCTAGGATAGAATAACAGTTTCACGGCAGGCTAGGTACTTTACGGGTATTACGAGATCGGTCCATGTATCCTAGAGCGATAGAGAATACGACGGGGGTTAGGAGGGGATATCAAAGTGGAAGAGGGGCGGACGATAATTTCGAGCAACCCCTAAGCCGATTTTCCATCGGCGAACTCGTAAATTTATAATAAACAAAGAATTCACGGATCGCTGAATCTCGATCGTAAATTCTCACTTACGCGTCATTCCATTTTATTCCAATTCATTGAATTCACTTTTGAATCAATACTTTCTCCAGCGATTACCGTATACGTATATACAAATACATCCGATATGATAGCAGCGTCCCGACGTCAATTCGAATTAATTCGTGCGCGTTGAATCACACTCGTTTAATTTTACTCCCCCCCGTAAGGATCGTATACAAAATTCACTCACGTATGTAGATACACGCAGTACGATATTACCCGTATATCGGCATATGGGCGTTCCGTTGAATTTTTATCCGTACGCTTATCTCCATGTTGGTCATGTTCGCTGATCGTTTGCCTAATGAAAATAGAAGCTAAACTCGGCACGCGTTGCTCCTCTCTGTCTCTCCCCGTAGTTTCTGCCGCGATTAAAAACATTGATAGCGACTCTGCAACGTTATCAGCCGTCTCATATACGTACGCGTCATCTGCCCAAATGAACCCCATCATAGATTTCTCTGCTGGCTGACTTAACTGACTCACTCTCGCACTTACTCACTGTCCGATCGTCAGCATACGGCGACCGAGTAACGTAACGTACGTAGGATGATACCCGTTACGGAGTATAAGGTGGAAAAAAAATATTATCAGCGAATCGGACAAAAAATTGACTCTCAATATCTAGTCATTCGTAGAGATTTTTTTGTTGTACAGTACAGCAGCATCCCATATTTAGAATTGGTCCAGCACAATGAATGATCCATACGAATACACTATATGCGAGACAGGTTACTCCGCTGTGGTCCATCTCTTGACATCTTCGATCCTATTGTCCTTTCAGTCTTTAGTCGTGGCTAACCTGGTACCTTAACTGTAAAATACCTAGTCAAGGGCTGCGTCCAATTATCATAAAAAGTAACCATCCTCCATTAGCTCGATCGGTCGGTACGATCCACTTGTGTATTACTGCACCGGGAAATAAATAGCCTAGGGAATACGTAAATATCTTACGGCAGACTATATCGGTTCAATAAGATCCTTTTATATGTGTCCTGCTCTGTATTATTCCTGTCGGGGGGAAAGTTGGAAGGTTGGTACACTTGGTGGTTAAGCATACAGCGGGGGACTAAGTTGCGAGGTAGCCTTTAAGAGCGCAACACGCTACTCTACAATTTATATGAAATCTAGTACATACGTTTCTATATTTAGCTTTGGGTTATACCTGGGAAAAGGGACAGGGTCAGGTAGATGATCTAGGTAGGAGCGTGATCGAGATTCGTATCGCTGATAGACGCTTGGAGTATGGAGGACGGAACGTGGGTAGGGAGAGAGTGACAGAGAGAGAGACAGATTGTGCGATTCTCCGTGTATACATATACAGGAACTTTTCGAGAGGTCCTCTACCGAGAGGCTATCGAGAGAGGCGTGAATGGTGCCGTTTGGCGTGTTACCTTTTTGTCGATATGCAAATACCAATATGACACCGTGGTATTGTGCCGACTTGGGCACAATAGCCCAAACACTCATAATAATAGTAATGAGCAGAGAAATATGGCTATGCAAATGGTGTTCAGGATGGCCAAAGTTACCCTGCGCGTTACGGGCGCCCGGGCACGCATCCCTACGAGTTAACTGTGTTACGGGGTATCAACCCCATATATATATATTTTTTCTCCTCCCTTGCCTATACTGCACATACGCTACGCCTCTCTGACCCCGTGCTCACCGCACACTTCACACTGGGCATCGCTGCCAGAGCAGGGCACGACATATGCAACTATGTTCAGAGTATATATATCACTGTTGTCAACCCCTCGAAGCCGATCCCAAAATTACCGGGGCCTTTGTTTACCCTCACTTTTCATCCCTTGCTCTGTGTATTTATTAATAATTTTTATACTTGACTACTGTCCGATGGCGCGTATGTAAATCGCCGCGGTACCGCGTTACTGCCATTACTCACCCTTGGACGCTCTGTGAAATCACCCCTGGAGCTTCGCAAGTCCTTTTTCATCCCTTGGATTTAAACTGGACCCTCGTAATATCCCAGTGAAAGATATCGAGGGGATTACACGCTATCGTAATTGCATATCCCTACCCGGTGCATATTGTTCGTCTGGGGATGCAGTATCGTGTCCCAAGCCGATAATCCTTAACCTGTGACAGAATGTGAAAAGACGTGGGGCGGTGAGTGGGAAATATCGTAATTTACAGGGTGGTACTTATAATGCTCGATGTATTTCTACCAACCCCCTGTTACTATTAAACGATCCGTCTTGCTATGGCGATTCTGTATTGTACTAACTATTGAGTCTTCCTTACCGAGTGACTGCGTGCTCGGTCGGTAATGCAGATTCAATTATCGCCAATGCATGCGTGCGGGTTTTGATCGATCGTCGCGGATCTGTCAATGGTGACAATGGTCGATGGGCGTGGTTCTCCTTTGGCCGTGTGTCGCGGTGTGAGAATAACGAGGAGGGGGGGATTGATAAAAAAATATATATGAAAGAGCGACTAATATCTGGCTATCCATCATGACGTCACTAGCGGTACGTTAGCCCGTCGTACGTATTAACATATTCATGCGTGACATCGCTCAGGATATGGTACATCTGTCTGTCTCTGCTGGACTGTCGATCTCTCCATCCATCCATCCATTTATTTTTGTCACCCTTGGTATATAGGGGTGGTTCCTTCTGGGTCGAGATTGGTAGGATTTGCGGTATACACTGGAATAATTCATGTAATCGCTTTTCCTGTAAGGCTGACGAACCCGGACGAGGTTCACGACGTGTTCGTAGATGGCGCTTCGAACGTTTATTAAATTAAGTCATTTAATTGAATGCGTTCTCCGCGTTATGTGACACGTGCAACCAGTGTAACCCGAGACTATGGGAACGCCATATGCGTTAGCCCTGGTGAATCTTCATGGGTGAGCGACATTGGAGATGAACTGAGAAAGAGGGGAAAAAAGGGAAGGGGAAGTGAAATAAAAAAAATGGGGAGATTTGTATACAGAATTTTTCTAATGGTGTTTTCATATGTTACGCGTGTACGAGTACGGGTATATTATTGTTTCACTTGTCGATCGTCAAACGGCGCCGGTCAAGCTTGTAAAATTAATGTACGATTAATCGTACTGCTCACGTGACACCGTTAACATCTAATTGGTTCGCTTCAGCTGGCTTCCCTTTTATGTTTATTGTATATATATGCTTGAGAATGAAGATACTCTTGGTCAAGTTGCTCGAGGCGCGTTGCCTGCACGTGGAATTTATTCGGCACGAATTTTATGCCTGTCCCTCGTTAAAGGCATTATTAAAGACATTAACGAGGCGACCGTTTCAGACCTTGACGAACGGGTTCGGCCTATCCCGTGAGTGCAGGTGAAAAGTTACCAGCACTTCTTGACTAACCAGTGTTACCTGGAACCGTAATTTCGTACGCATAATCAGTATAATGTATATTCACTGGCAATGTCTGGGCTAACCTCAATTTTGACATTCCACAGGACGCCACGCGTACCAATAGTCTGTATGTAACACTGGATTACGTATTTTACTCGAGTATCTTGTGACACAGCAAAAGATTGAGAGATCATTTAACCGCTCCATTGCCATCATTGGCAGCTGCCGCCAGATGTCTATTTATTTCAAATCATTCTAGATCCTCGTAGGGGTTCTAGCTGCGGCTCCTGACTCTAGACAGAGTCATCCTTCGTTATATATATACACACATGGTAGTCGAAGGACTTTGGCATCATCGCCAGGATACATCTGCTTCTTGCAGTTGGTACTAAAATAAGAAGACTATGCTATATATTACCTATAGTTTATGGTTAAACTGACTGTACGCTCAGGATGAATCTAATAACTGACTTTATATTCGTCGCGAGAGTTTCTAATGATTTATCCTTTATTTCCAGGAGGCAGCAGCTGGATCAGTCAGTCTACTGCAATTCTCAGGCGCGTCGCGACGACTCCAATGGACGCGGTGATAATTCTGAGAAAGTCAAGGTAAGCCTTGTGTTATCTTTAGTTCCGATCTTACTTGTTGTGTCTGTACGCATCCTGCGAAGTTGCGTCAGCGGACGTGTTGTTTGGTATATCTACGTTCTATGGCACAAAAACTCCTTTCAGCGGTAATGATTTGTTTGTATCGTTTCAGGGAACCACGCAGGATCTCTTTGAACTTCTTGAGAGAGCACAGAGCTCGCGATTGGACGATCAAAGATGCGTATTACCACCGTACGGTTCACGAGTAAGTAGTGCATTGGTTTTTCCGTGTTCGATGTAGATGGCGCCACCGCGTCTAATACTAGAGGCGTCGTAGAATAGGAATGACGCTTCGAAGAATAGACCATCCATCTTATTATTCTCTGTTATTGTTACTCATCAGGTAGTATAAGCAGTACGTCGTTTCTATCAGAGAGATTGAAATCTGTCGTCTGCTATTAGTACTGTCATTAGTCGTGTTATATACCTAGAGTGGCATTGAGTAAGAATGCATAGAGAAGAAACCCCTGTTCTACGGCACGTTAACCACTCCAAGATGGATGATCGCGATTCTTCACGCGTCATTCTCTGGCATGGTAACTCGTGCCTGCGCGTCATGGAGATTGTGTTGGTTGGACACGCGTTTCATTATTAGAAATAAAAAAAAAACAGTCACGCTATGATTTTGGTATAAGTAAAAAGTCGGACTCCTTACAATTTTCTATAGCGAACAGAGGGGAGAGGCAGTAGCTGTTAATCCGTGGATTGCAGAGTCATTTGCTAAACGATTCGAATTTCCAACGTTGACGGGGTCTATTGAAAAGGAGAAAAAAATTAATTAATTTATTTTTGATACGTCATTCGCAGTTTGCTACCTAGGTATTATAGTGCTGGTAGCTTGTACTGTATGCATACGTATGGTATGCATAGGAGTACTATGAGGATGGGGTAGACTGTTGATTGTAATTTTAAATTGTCGCGCAACACGGGTCACCGCATTGAGCATCGTATACGTTAACTGTCTATGCGACTTTTTTTTTCGCTCTGTTGCTTTTCCTCTCTTTCTATCCTCTTTGAAACGATACGGCGAAATGGCACAGCGATTGAAATTCGCTCCCTCCATTAGCATGACAATCGGGCAGGAAATGCGCGCGAGGTGCTCGAACGTGTCCGACCAATGGAAAAACTGTGAAATTGAGTCAAGGCAGCCTGCCGCCTCGTGAGCATAAGCGCACGATCTTAATCTCTTAATGAAGTCGGCCTATTAGCAGTGCAACAGCTGCCCCCATGCTTTCCTAATTCGCGGTGCGACAACAGGACACGAGTCGAAGCGACTCGGGCCGACCGGTTTATGGTGGCTACGCTATATGGACAACATATGCATAGCTTGCAATTATTTTATAGTATGGTTTTAATTTATGGTTTACGTATGGCTTCTTGTTTCTCGTTCCTCTCTTCATTTTTCTATGTAATTCCTTACTGGTATGGGAATGCCATACTTTTTTCCGATGACGCCATCGGTCTCCGTTCATTCGACACTGTCGATTTGCTCTTTACAGTCTGACTCTTGAGTGCAGTCATCTGGCTTCCATGTGTCTTATGCTTTATATTTGGATTGGTTTTGTGCCCAAGTTCTTATTCAATTCTGACCATTGCGTGGGACAGATTGTGTTGGCAAGCGTTAAATGTTTCCTGCCGTGTACTATCCCCACATTTTTTTCTAGTTGGTAATGTCTAGTGGCTTACCCACAGCCGGTAACAAAGAAAACTGATAAAAACTTTATTCCCTCGAGTCGTCGCGGTCGGTAATGGAGTAGAAACTGTTGGTTGACTGTAGAAGGTAAAAAATGGGTGACCGTCGGTAAAATTGTATCTTAACAGGCTGTTGGCACGTTACCTTGTCATTTCGGACAGTTTCGTATCTCGACGCAAGATTACGCTACTGGCGCTCTCAGTACTTTTTTTTCCAAATTCATTACGGAACGCGACATACTGCATTATAGCATATGTCACGCAATCGTAACGTTCGTAGAAATTACACACCGCGCGGTATTCAAACGCACATGAGTAATAGCGGAGCATTAGATAGATTTTTGGACATTATCGGAAACTTCACAGGAAGCATTTACCAATTTAGAATATTTTATCTGCTGCTCTCAATATGTGCAGACCATTTATAATCAGGTTTTGCAGATATATATTTCTTTATTTAAATATATTTTTTCACTTTAATTGCTGGATATCTAAATTTGTTGGCTTCTCATTTTTAGACATCCTCAAATCATATTCATATTCAAAATGTCTTTCTGACAGTTACAAGCATCACAGGTTGTAACGTTCGATCGAGAGACGAATACTGAAATATAGGTGCTCTACGTGACGAGTATAATGTATCGTGGAGCGCATAGAAAAGTGTTCGTGCGTGCCGGACAGAGGCAGCCAAGGGATGCAGGCATTCTGCAGGATATGGCAAGCCGGGGGGTGGGGCATGTCTTTGGCCCTTCCGGTCGGGCAGGTACGAGCGCCGGAAGTCCCGCTTCAAAGCCGCATCGTCATGCCTTGGCTTTGGGTAAGCGCCCAGGAAGATTTTCAGATTCGTGGTCTGATCAGTCAGCGTGAAGATCTTAGATTTCGCAGACAGGAAGTTAGCTACAGTATGAGAGGTTTATTGTTCGCGTCTTTTTTTTCCTTTCATCATCGGTCATGGGAATCGGTACTCACCCGGTTCTGGAAGCCGGAAAATTATATTACCGTTTTGTTTCAACGCCATTATAATATTACTCCGTCTGGCGTATAATAACGAGTTAACCGGAAGTGTCTAAAAAAATAAAAAATTAATTACAACGTGACCAATTATCGAAATTTATTTTGTACACACCCAGTCACGTATCACAACCTTCACTTGACGATATCACTTTATTGTCGCGCCTAAGTAAATCGGCTTATCGAATTGCGTGATGTACTGATACTTGAGAGATATCGATGTTAAAGAATATATATTTATTTATCCAGGCGCGTAGCAAACGTTAATTCCTTAGAGAACGTTTTTGTATACCATAACTCGAGGTAGCACGCTCTTAAGGATGAGTCGTACAAGGGGGTAAACGTGAAATACCGTGACTACCGATAAAACCCTACTCCAAAGAGCAGGAGAGGAAGTCGCAGGAAACAAAACGAAAGTGGACACAAAAGAAGCGGGCGAGCGCGAGAGCCAGTGGCGCGTTCCTACGTACAACGAAATAAGTCGACCACGAAATAACATCCGCTTGCCGGGCTGCCGCCATTTCCTCCCGAACGCGCATTGCCACCTGCCGTTCCCACACACGTTTTCCTCGTGCGTGGAAAAAAAAGAGCCCGGGTCTCTTTTTACAAGTGAAAAGAAAAAAAAAAAAAACTGAAAAACACCTAGGAAGCTGACTTGTAGGGTTTCTCACGGCACGCATCAGTCGGTAATTTTTTGTCTCTCACCTACCGACAAACTTAATAACCTATCAATATGTAGGCGTATAAATGGGAAATGTTCGTTTTTCTGAAAGAATCCAATCCGGATTCAAAAATCCTTTCAGGTACCTTAATTCCATTTAAATATATATCTCCTACGTCCGCATACTCCGTAGGCAACTTCGCTCCCTACCAATGCCGGTAACACGAACTTTCCCGAGCTCTCGGATTTTGTCGAGGTCGCTGGTCGATGGTGTGCCCGACAATGGTGTGCAGTGCCGAAGTAGAGGGGATACTGGGGCCATGGTGAATACACCATTGGTTGCCTATTGGGGAACAGACGCACACAACACATACTTGGTTAGGTTTGTAGGGGGAGAGAGAGAAGAGAGAAGGATCGTTCTCAACGTCAGTCGCGCTCCGGTTTCCTTCGTGTATGGAGTCAATCGAAGTCAGAAGTGTTGTGGCGTGATCGAACGCGTTTTATTCCTTGGGGAAGAGTGTGCGCCGCGCACCCACGTCGAGTAAACACTTTCTATTTTGACCTCAAGTCGTAGCGGCCAAAAAGTTATGTGGGCAGAGGGAGCACGATCGTATCGAGTGGACTCGCAATAATCGGACGTTCGCGTACCAAGGACTCATAAAAAAGAGTATACACGAAGAATCATTGTGCGTCGATCGCGTTCAAAAAGTATACAAAAACGCGGTTGGAAATAATGACAGAAGTGTATAAAGGTGTTTGTCAGTGCTGGTCGCTATTCTTACTTCTAGTGACACTGCACGCATTGTCGTACTAACCAACAATAATTATTGCGCGGTTCACGTTCGAATGGACATTACCGTGCGCGAGGTGAATCTTTTGCGAGCGATACCAAGAGACCAGTGAAATAAATGTGTTTGAGAAATGTGTTACGTGGAATTTCCTTGAACTACTTTAACTAAATCGTATAGTTTGATAAACTCGGTTTCTTTGATTATAAAATCTGTATCTGGGTTTCGCGCTTTGAAAATATCTTCTCTGGCTCCTCTGGCGTTACTGTTTATTTACGTTCTCGCAATTCCCGTCTGCAAAGACTGCGCTCGGTTTAGTATCGCGAGAAACAGCTGCGGTTATATATATAATTGACGCGAAGGCATCTGCCGAGATCTCTCAAGTCGGTCGGGAAGACTGTTCTATCAACACGAAAAATTAAATTCTCAAAGATAGGTTATAAACGGCGAGTGAAGCGAACTCTTGTTCTTCTCTCACTCTTTTTCGGTAAGCGTCGCTCGAAATCCTTAAGAAATTTTTTCGTCAATGTCTCTACGTGCACGGCGTGTCTATAACTGGCGCAGTAGAAAGTATTAAACGAACAGTGAGTGTTTCCAATATACTGTGGACATGATGGGTGTTTTACGCTGGAGGCACGATCTCAGATCGGAGGCCGGACAGCAGCAACAGAGACCAAACTCGGAACAGCCTTCGGCCACCCACAATCATGCACATGCGCACACGTTGCCCAAACTCATAGCACAGGTGAGATACGACAATACGTATACAGTATGAGAGGCATGTGTGGTGCGTCGGTTAGACGATAAAATTTTGATGGGCGTGAGAGGGTGAGAGCGGGACAGTGGTAATTTTTAGTACAGGCAATTATTTTATTAACGGGATACGCAGGATTTTCTGCGGCGAGATATTCGCATGAAAGAATAGCCGGTTAAGTATATATTGATTCAGATTTATAGCTGGTCTTCAACAATATCCTCGTTGCACGCACAGTCGAAGACCATTACCAAGCTGCGAACTGTAACCATTGTAACTGTTATTTTACCGATCTTCGCTGGCCGTTGCAATTTTACCTGAGACCGTTACTCGCCGGAACGTTCTTCAGCGTTCCGTGCCACAAGCATTTTCCCAGGCTTACCGACACTGCCTGGAAACTCCATTGGAAGGAGAGGCTTTTCTTCGTAAGTGAACTTCGCATGGCGCCCCATTATGGCGCAGGTCAGTTTTCACGTACGGTTTCTTGGTTTTACGTAATACTTCTTGTGCGATGTGCACGTTCGATTATTGAGAACCGAGCAGGATCTCGATGCGATACTATAGCATTATATTTACTACAGTAATTTCAATGCCGATGAAAGTGATTGGCTGGAATCACCGTCGAGCGCCAAGTCGTTTTTCTTGAACTAGGCGCGCCGTTTAATCATAATTCAAGACGTTCATCTAACCCGGTGCCGGCCGTCAGCACCACTTTATCATTGTATCCATCGGCCAAGAATATTTACGTAATTGATCCTGCATCATCTTCGAAGATCACTGTGGAGGTTGAAAAAAAATCTCATTGTTCCGTGCATCGAGGCATCTTCGTTGTCGGTCTTGGTAAAGGATATAGAAGCCTGTGCCAGCTGTCGTCCGGGTCCCGTCAACGTACATATATAAGGGTACAGGAACCCGCGACCGTTCTCGAAGCCAATCGGGCAGCCAGCCAAACCCTCAGCTGGTCTCGACTTTTAACGCTGTCCAGGTGAAGCCAGAAAGTTCTACGAGCACCTGGCACTCGAATTTCCGGCTTGCTCGTAAAACCGACAAGCCAAAAAATCGATCCAGTTGCTTTCCGATTTCCATCGAACGCATACCGAAAGGCATACGAGTGCCCTAACCTAAAAATCATAAATTTCCTAAAATCGTATATTTCCTGAAAATCATTGTTTTCTCCACTCTTCCCTCTGATTTTAACGAAATAACTTTACAGACCAACGAAATCTAACCGGACGTCATGGTTGTCACGTTGACGGACGTCTCTATCGATAATTCGTCAAACGCCTCATTCGACCGACGGAGGCCTGTCCTCTCGGCCGATGCGAAACTCACACGACGCACTTAGCTATAGCTTCATATTAGTTCTACATGGACCTCGTTCAAACTGACCTACTGATCTAACAGTCGAAACGCCTGGCGAATAATCAGACTACACGAATGGCACGTATGCATTAAACAGTGGCAAGCAGAGGAGTGTCGATTTCGTTCTCAGGTCGCACACCTTTTACACGAACCACAGTGTATCGTGAGCGCGGGACTGTACCTGGGTGCGTCCAACAATGCGCGTCCTGAATAATTCATTCCCACAGTCAGTGACTCTCCCAGCCATTGCCTGACTATACCAACATGTAGAGTAACGTATACATGCCCCATCCGTACGGGCTGATGCCGACTCTCTCGCATACGTGGAAAAGAGTCGGTTTAACCTATCTGAACACGTTGGCAGCGTATACGTACGTATATATATATATATATATAACATACTCTACTCAAGAGTCAGAGCCTCCCTACAGTGGAGTATTGCCCGATAAGTCTCACGTGTGGCTCTCGCAAAACGATTACAGGGCACTGGTTTGCGTTGGCTGTTATTGCGTGTCGTTACGTAATGCATTATAATAGTGACAAGGGGAATTCATAAAATTAATTGGAATAGCAAGCGCACGTGGTGATAGTATTATTGTGTATATACATATATATTTGTCTTTATCGTACATCCTCAGCGTTTTAACACGGGCCATATAGGTATACTCGCTGTATAGTTATGCACCGTGTGTATTGTGTGATTCATCAGAGTTTGAATCGCTCATGTTTTCCCGTCTCTTTTTCTACTCAATGCTCTCGCGCACTTGTGCGTTATTAATACGCGAGGGACCTAAAGTCGAGAGGGCTTTTTTTCTACGCGTAACCCCCCTTCTACCGTAGTCTGGGCTCGTGTGCCCTCTTTGAAAAAAGCCACCCTCGTTATACACCCCCTCTCTCGGATCTCGTCTCGCTACTCTCTGATATGGCGCTTTCCGCTAGGTATACAGTGTACTCGCGGACCTCCTACTTTCATTCTATTCCGGATACACTGGACCTGAACTGTGTATACCTATATTAGTGCCACTTTGTACTCTGCCCTTATACTCCTCTTCGGCTTACATCAAATATCCTCTGGAGTATCCGTATACACTTGTATATATGAAAAATGCACGGTTGTCTCTCTCTGTCTCGCTCGCGTTCCTCTATCGATTTAACTCGCCGACTTGTCTCTCTTAGCACCAGGATGACTCATAGGGAAGACTGGTGCGATAGACTTGCTGAAAAAAAAAGAGGAAATTCTTGATCAATTTTATATCAATGAATATAACTGGATTACGTAACGCATAACGTGAAGGCAATCGCGCGTAAGAATCGACGGTTCAACTTTGCCGCTACGATTATTCACGATTCTATATTAATAATTTGGTCTTGCGTTACAGTCCGTGCATCGTGGTCTAAATACGTTCATTGTCTCTTTTAATTTTCATTCCCCTTTTTATTTATACTCGCTATCCTTTATACTCTCTCTCTCTCTCCCTGCGTCCACCGTAAAACTCTGCGAAGACTTCTTCCGGTGGACGAGCGGTGACCTCGATCGAAATAGACACCTCCTCCTTTTTTTCCTTCCTCGTTCCGTTACGGCTACTTTTTAAGACACGTCCAAACGACCTCCTTATACTCTCTGCTTAAGCCCGGAGTACTTACACTTTGGCTGGACTGGACTCTGCTAGAACGGAGTAGAGCATAGCGGAGCAGGATACACAGTACAGTGAAATATACTAGTGGATACCAGCTTTACCGGACTACCTTTTCTTTTACCTCCCTTTTCAAGTTTTTACGTACGCCTGATTCTAGCTCGTCTAGTTGAGTATTTCCTACGCCCACGTTTACCCCGTGTGACTCACTTTGAAGCTTTCCTGCCTCGTGTCTAGTTTCGAGAGATAGCAAAAGATACATAGGCAGATAGCATGGCACGGCCATACAGAGTGGAAAAGACATGAAAAAGGGAAGACCAGGAGAGCATGAGTAGAGACAGCATAGAGGGTAACGCAACGAGTTAGAAAGAGACGACGAATAGTCGTGGCTCTTTGTTCGTCGAGAGAATGCACTGTCGATGAAGAAGAAGAAGAAGACGAGTTGGCGGGGATACATGAAAAATATTCCTAGAAGTATAGATAACCAAATTGCATTTGGTCTCTAGTGGTAAATCGATTGCGCCAGGGTAACGAGTAGAATTTATGAAGCTACCACCGGGAATCTGTTATATCCTCAGTGAAGTATCCGTGAAATTCTTGAACTTCCGGCCTCTCTATGGTCGTTGTCTCTGAGTCCATCCTTTATATCTTACTTAGTTATTGTCTTAAGTTCAGGTAACATACTCTGGGTTTAACGTGGTCTCCTGACCTGGGTATATGGTACCCGCATCCAGCTGCAATTTAACCATCAAGCTTGTTACTGGTGGAAAACGTCGGTTTTCTCTCTGGCAAGGCACGTACCTGTCTGATACTAGGTTATGTACGTATCTAGGTAGCCGGCTATAGAAAAAGGGAACGGAAAGTTCCTCCTTTCTCCGAGGAATACACTTCGCCACTTGGTATTTAATGCGACATGGTAAGCGTGTATTATGCTCAGGTAGTGTGTACGTGGTTGTATGACGACATTCATAAACGAGGATGAGTCAGTGTTATTAACGTAGGTATAGAGTAGGATGAGAAACGAGGAAGCCATTTTTTTTTCATTCTTTATTCATATGCCTTTTTCTCTCTCTCTCTCCCTCTCTCTCTCTCTCTCTCTCTCTCTGTCCTTCTATCGTCTTGTAAAATGTCACTTGACACCGTTGAAACCGACCGTTGATAATTTTTTCGACGCTTCGCACAAAAACCGGTATCCCACTGTTACTTGGACGATTGCACGTGGCTGGGTACATTTACGTACCCACATGATTCACACCTAGGATCACTATGTTTAGAGGTTATCCAGTGGAAAGTATAGGAGTCTTTCGAAATCTATTCTCGAGGATGTAATAACGCTTTGCGTTACGACCATATACCACGAGATTGAGGGTACGTGTATTGTATGCGTTACCTGGGACTTATGTATTTTTTTGTTTTTATACCTTGCGCCTATGATGAAAATTAGGTACCCGTAGGCGAGTTTCGTTTATACGTTGCAGAAAACAACTGATTATTTATATCCAAGTGCTGGAAATTCAGTTCGGCTTTGTCTCTGAAAAAACTGTCAGCGACGGTCGACTGCGATAGTTCCGCTACGTGGCGCTGGTGGCGCTGCTGTGAAACTCCAAATATAACGGCTGCGGTATATTTTCGTGGAAGAGACAGGGTCTAGGGGGGTTACGGGGATGCTCGTGGAAAATAGTCTAGGGTCTAAGGGTACGAAGATAAAACGAAGAAGTGAGTGGCGGAGGGTGGAAAAAAAATAGAAATAAAAAGGTAAAAGGAGAATGACGAGGAATGGTGGGTACGTTAGAATCCGCTGCAACTCAATCGGCACCACTGTGAGATTCTATCTATAGGAGCACCTAGCAATCCTTACCGAGAGCAGGCGCCGTGTTTTAGTTAAATTTCATCTAGGCCTGGTGTGTTTGTACTCGTTCTGTCCTTGGGCCAATTTTTATTCACTGCTCTTTACCGAGAAAGGAAGCCAACTGGACATTTGATGGTCTTCCTTGGCAGGAAGTGGACGTTCGATATATTTAATGACACTGTGGGGTATAAGGTATTAGAATATAACATACGGATATCATTTTTCTAATGGATATTTCAACTTTGTGTATCCAATGGTCTATGTACATATGAAGTCGTCTATAACCAGTGTGCAGGTATTGCCTTTCACATGTTTTAAAATCTTTCCACGTGACACCTGCTGCAAACATATGTTACATTATTGAAACACGCACTATCCCACAGACCTTTTGTATACCCCAGCCATGTATAAGAATCGGTATATGAATTCGGCGGCAGAATGGACGCCTTCATAAATAGCACTTTATATTAAAAGAGAATCCTTTTCAGGCATCACGGGAGGAGAGGCCAACCTCGAGTCCTGGACAGACCCTAACGCCGAGCCCTTCGCCGTCGCCAGTTGGAGATGCACCCCTCGGCCGGGCCCTTATGGAAGCTGCCATTCAGCAGGCAGGCTCGGGTACACAGCAACCGCCACCCCTCGTGGTCACACCACCAGGATATTGGGTCGATGGTACCGACCATAGGCACAGCCTGGACTCTGCCGGAAGGGCACTATTACCAGCCCAACCAGCTTGGCAACCCACGGTAGATCAGGATGACACTGCCAAGTGTTACAGACGCTTTTTCGTCGGCAGGGTGAGTTCCCGGATGACCGGTACCTGTTCTGGTACCTGCAGATTACGTTTAAGCACCTACCACCCTAGATGGGATACCCTCTTAAGACTCATGCCAGGGCATGCCAAGGCATGCCAAGTATCTGATCTTGTAGCGGCGATAAGTAAGTACGTGTAATGGCGATATCAAACGGTAAAGCATGTAACTAAAGGCGTAGCCAATGGCGAAGCGCTGTAAAAGCGTCCAGTACGGCGCGAGCAGCCACTATGCTAATGTACCACGTGTACACATAAGTTCACGTATATAGGATATACGCAATTGCCATAGGTACACTCAGCTGAGAACCCTATACGCGACTATAGTGTTATGCTGGTGCTTGACGCCGTGTACCTGACCGTGTGCTAAGCTGCTGCCGGCCAGGAAAAGAGCACTTTGGCCGTGGGAGTGGGAACGTTCTCATAGGCCTCCTCTTCGCAGACCTCAGCACCGGAGACTTCGGATAGATTTTCATACCTTACTAGTACCGGAAACCCTTTTTATTTCTTTTCTTTTTCATACTTTGCCTCTACCTAATAATCGATCTTCTCATTTTCTCATCCTTCTCCTAGTACTGTCTCATCCTGTCAGTATTTGTCAAGATTCCTTTCACCCGGTCAGGAGGTCACAGGAATTACTCGACAAGGGTCTGCAAGCTGAACCCTTGAAGACGGGCTGGTCTTATCAGACAGCCTAACTGCTCTCCGCTACTGATAACCCGTAGGACTTGACTCACATCGTAAATACATCTGGATCCTTGATGATAAATATCAACCGTTCCCGTAACGATCTATGACACGCTGTGAAACTGTGTCGCATGGGACGATCTTCCTAATGATTAATCTTGTTCAATTCTTTTTTCTTTATAGACTAAGATTATTTCGCATTATTTTTATCGTCATTGACTTTTTCTCATGTCGAGCGTGTAAATTCTTATTTACACCGCGGTTATCTTGACTCTTTTATTTTTTTTTCACGGCGTATTGTCTTTATCTTTATTCTTTTACTTTACTTCGTTTCTTCCTTCCTATATGTACGAAGTTGCGGACACGCGAGGTCTCCGCGGTAACGATCCATTGTTGGTCGAGCGATCGCAAAGTCTTGCGTGCCGGTAAACGCGATAATTAAGAACGCGAAATTCTGTAATAACGTTTTCAGCCATGTCGGAACGGAATCTGGCGTTACCTGGTAGATCCACTTTTTTTTTATTATTACAGTATCAAACGGTCAAAGTGAGGGGTTGATAGGGACAGCGGTATCAGAAGCTCTCGTCCCTCCCGTATGAGAAGACTAGCTTATCAATATCTATTGTAACGTGGGCGCGTATGCAGAGAGTGAATTGTGAACGGCCGGAAAAGGAGCGTGAACGCTTTTATACTATACTATAACGATAGTGTCTATCGAATTACGTTAGAACGATTATTCGTGTGGTAACTGATAGTTATTATCGTTACTATGCTATGGTTCGACTGTTACGCGTACATTAGAACCCTATGTGCGTAAGTGCGTAACGCCTGTTACACCCGGTTAGCTACCCACGTATATGCTTAGACTCTGCGTTACTATTGCACGGAAGTGCCTGGACGCTTGCGTCAGCTAACGCATTCGCATCCATTGTGCGTGTGTACTTCGGGGTCCCATTGTGAGCCAAGTGTGTCGTATGATCCCTAGCCTGGGACTCTTGACATGTACTGTGAGATTCCTAGTGGCAGGCTGCTGGATACTGTTGGATAATTTTCGAAATTTTTTTTCTTGCATTATTAAGGTTGCCTAATTGGAGATAAATGTGGGAAACGGTTTTTCTCTTTTTTTTTAATTTTTTTTTTTTTAAATAATTTTGATCTTTTATTTTCACAGGAACACGTTAATCTCGTGGGAAGGGACAGCGAGAATGGGCCTGTTCTCGTATCCGTCAAAGCCGAGACTGTTGCTGGTCAGGAACACTGGCGTGTTTTGCTACGGCTGCGTGCTGGCTCGACCCATGATCTTGTTCCTGCTTCCAACCTGGGACCGAATCCTTCACCGGCGAAGATGGTGAAGGTATATTTGATTTTTTTTTTTTTTAAGTGAAACTTTTCTTCATTCCAAGAATTCGGGATGTGGTGTTTATCGCAGTTTACTTGGGCACGTCATTTCCTCTCGAAGGAACTGGGTTATGGAATCGCTGTTTCTTTCGCTATGATGTTATTAGCATTGTGGTTCCATTAGTTTCCTCATTCGATAACCTTCATTCTGCCCTTCGGTGGCGCTGCTAACGATCGTCTCTTCTGATAACGGGTAGTGAGGTTTTAAGTATCCTTTGATATGAAATTTTCTCTTTTTCTTGTTCAATGATTTCTTTGGAAAATTATTTACATTGTGATAGCTAATGTCGGTTACTTTTTTTTTTCACCTTACCGAACCCACGATATTTACATCGGGTCTTGAAATTTCGGGTACCTATTGGTTGAAGGGTTCTTCGGTGAGAAATACTCTTGGGGTCTCTTGCAATGCGTTATGATAGTCCTCTACATACTTACGCAGGACACGTGAGTCTTGTGCGCATAGATATACATATATGTATATACATATATGTATATATATACTTCTCTCTGTAGTTATTTTTACTTCATCCCTTTTTTTATCGCGTTAGTCTCTTCCCAACTGGTAAAGTATAGGTATTAACGATGCCGCAGGTGATAAACGAGTCGCTGAACGTGAGCACCCTGATGCCGGTTGTTTGCTCCGGTGCGGGCACCCTGATAGCCCGGTACGACGAGCACGCACTCGTCTCCAGGTTCAAGTTTGGAGTGCTGCACCAGCGTCTCGGACAGGTCACCGAGGAACAGCTCTTTGGGAATCGACAGATTACACCAGCGTTTCAGGAGTTCCTGGACTTGTTGGGACAGAGGATAGACCTCAAAGATCACAAGGGGTAAGGTTATATGATGGATTGCATTGGTGATAACGATTTTCGATTTTTTTGTCTTATTTTATTTTATTCATATATCTGATCTTTTGACTGTTTTAGGTATCGCGGAGGTTTAGATACCAGACATGGACAGACTGGGGACTCTGCCGTTTATGAAGTCTTTCGTGGTAGGGAGGTCCTTTTCCACGTGGCCTCCTTACTTCCTTACAGTCCTGGTGATTCGCAACAGCTGCAACGCAAAAGGCATATTGGCAATGACATCGTTGCTGTGATATTCCAGGAGGAGGCTACGCCATTTAGCCCTGACATGATTGCCAGCCATTTTCTTCACGCATTCATAGTCGTCCAGGTCATCGATCCTTGCACACCGAATACTAGGTTGGTACTCCTGGTGATTCAATAGTTTCGTGTGCATTATGCTATTTTAGTTTTAATCATCGTTAGCGTAATCATGGTTAACCGTTTGTATTTCTTGCTTAGGTACAAGGTTAGCATAACGGCCAGGGATGACGTTCCGTGGTTCGGACCATCCTTACCTACCCCCGCTGTCTTCCTCAGAGGTGTTGAATTTAAGGAGTTTCTCTTGACTAAGTTGGTCAACGCCGAAAATGCTGCCTACAAGGCAGAGAAGTTTGCCAAGCTTGAGGTAAATATTGAATCGTGAATTTACTGTGGATGTTTACTTTACGAGAAGAAGCTGATTTTAATGTTTGACTCTCGTGTTTTCAGTTACGAACACGGTCAGCACTCTTGGAGTCTCTTACGGAAGAGCTGCAGACCAAGACCAGCGAGTTCCTGGGCGGTGGAGTGGGCGGTGCTACGTGTCCAGTGAGTCCTACCACGAGTGACGCCTCGACTTCCGGTAGCGGCGGAAGTGGTTCCAGATTCATCGATACCGTACGAAAGGCTCTAATATCGCGGGTGCGAAATGCATCGACCGAGAGTGTACCTCAGCAATTGGCAAAAAAAGGACCTTCCGAACCAAGTCCTCCCAGCAATCGTTCCGCATCGAAGACCGGGAAGCGTTCCGTCGAGCCAGCCAGTCCCTTGAGCTCACCTGATCTCACCTTGAGAAGGGATTCCGATCGCGGTAGTCCAAGTCTAGGTAGTCAAGATAGTAGTTTGTCGAACTTGGATAATCAAGAGAGCAGCATAACGACATTGCAGCAGGAGGATCAAGTGGAACGACGTGAAATCGCCGCTAACAACACCACGGAGAAGACGTCCTACCAACGTTTAACCCATGAAAATCTTCATAAACGAGAAGGAGGATGTCTGCGCGACAGGACAGAGAAACTAGAAACTCACAGAGTCGTTTCTGAGAGCGATGACAGCTCCTTGAACAGCGAACTCGAGCTTGATCAAGCTGTCTATCCGGATAGCGACACGGGTCTTGAATCCATGAGTTCAGCCGAGACTCATGACACTACCACACGGTGTACGGCTAAGGATGGTACGGAGAATGAGACTTTACGTATGGAGGTCACAAGACTCAAGTGCGATAAGTTGGACTTGTTAAGGCAGAACGTGGTGAGTAAAACATAGACCAGGATACCCTAATCCCAGTAGATTAGTTCGGTAAACTTAATTATCGATTTCTGTACGTATTTGCTTCCTTTATCTTCCAGACTTGTCAACGAGATATAAAACGCCTCCGTGAAAAAGAACTTCAGCTACAGGCCGACCTGGCCACTGCGTCCAAGGAGATTCTACGACTCCGGGCAATGCTGAAAGAGTGCTCGACGAGCATCCCCTTGGATAACAATAACCAACAAACGTCCACTGTTTGAAGCTACAAGCCCCCACGAGTCTAACCGTTTAGCTTCTATAGTATAAGTGTAAGGTAGGTTTTGGCTCCTTCCTTGGACCACTGTCGCATTTTGAAACACCATGTAGTTAGGTATCTTAAAGCGAGTCCTAGGTATAAGTTTTGCTAATCCCAGGAGCGCCATTTTTTTTATTCTAAACACCACGAATCGGGACGTCTTATGGTTTCCATTTAGAGCCTAACCTTTCTGGTACCTTGCGGGTTACTCTAAAATAGTGAATAGTGGAGGTTGGTACAAATTCGATAAGTCGTCTAATTACTTTAGTTGCTCGTGGAGAAGATAGAGAGGCGGCTCGGAAGGACCCTTGGACAATGATAGAGAGGAAGAGGATGAAGAGCATGAAGATGATAAAAAGAAAATGGCACATTAAAATGTGAATTATCCATTGGTATTTATAAAGAAAGGTCTAAAGAAAACCGCGAAAGCACTTGTCCAGCCGACATCTAAATTATTTATCATTAATTTATTTACCTAGACCGTAAGCAGGTGCCCCGTTTCTCTTTTATCTATCTCGTAATAGTCAGTGTACACTATGTAGAGAAGAAGCGCTCTGATGCATCTTGTCATTACGATTTTAGTCAGTTGTAAAAGCGAACGAGGCGAATGAACATCTAAGTATAAATAGCACTAGGTCTTTAATAGAATAATCAAAGAGTCGATCGATCTGTAACGCGTTTCAGAGAGAACAGATCCTAAAGTCTTAAGGACAGTATGGACATTTAAAGTTCATTTTCAGTCTAAAAAATTATTATAGAACCTTTGCAATAATTGGATAGCCCTCTCTCTTTCTCTTCCTAGAATGATTCTAATTAGTTTCTTATCAAGAAAACGAGGAACATTTCAATGTTGATTCTCTTTAGATAAGCTTGGTCCCTCTAATTACTGGGTCGTTAGTGGAGGTGACTATTAAAAAAAAAAAAAAAAAAAACGACAAATTAGAGCTACACCAAATTGTATTAGCGTTTAGTGCGAGTAAAGGTAATGCAAGAAGTACAGAGATCCAGGACGATTTTGCTTATACCTATCTCTATGCGTTCGTGTCATATATCAAACAGACACCTGCTCTCCTGTATAAACAGATTAGATTGCAAGGGGATGGCAGGAGGAGGAGGCCAAACGTCGCAATAACGAATGTCAATGGTTACCAGAAAATTATATTCTCTCACTTGTGCAAACCGGCGCGTAGGAAACTTGCGTGAGTGTAAACACGCTCTGTTTTTTCTTCTGCATATGCGAACAGCAGTGTTTTCCATGCGCGCCATTACGGTACCAAGATATTGTACGTTTCTCATGTGCCTATGGCACTTCACTTGCGTACACACGTTTCTAAAAGCGACACAATGTCTCACGTTCTTTCTTACTACTCGAGTACTTTTACAATATCTGCATAGACATGTTTATAAATAATAAGCATAACGTCGTCCTGGCGTCTACTTGTCAGCGAGCCCACGTTCTTTTGTTTATAATTTTTTTGTTACATTCTCTCTCTCTCTCTCTCTCTCTCTCTCTCTCTCTCTCTCTTTGTTTTCTTAACTTACTGTACATACAACTTATCCTCGTCTAATTTAGTTAACTCGAGTTCACCGTTAGTGACACTCAGAGATTCGTGGAGAAGACTCGCGCACGACCATACCAAAGCTTAAGCGTAGTGTAAAAAGTAAATGGTGTCAAGAAGGAATAAATAAGGAGGAAGCCATTGTCAGACATGCGGTTGTTGAGTTGAAATTTATCTTGTGGACTCACGTATGCACGCATGCATATCGTATGTAGGTAGTAGCTTCATAATTACGTTGCGAAGTTATTTATGTATTTTTTTTTCTCTCATATGGATTCTGCATATTATTTTTTACTCTTGTCATGGCTCTCTTTTTCTTCATTCTTGTCCGCTTACCGTTTACTTTCCTCCTTCATTTACTTTTTTCTCTTTTATGTTATTAATATTATTATTATTATCAACCGCAGTGCACAACGCTCACCGCGTCTCGAGCTTACACGTTCTTCCTTGCGATTGGACATTTTATATAAGTAATATATAATAATGTTGTAATTGAGAGCACGCTTTTCCGATTAAGTACATTTAACTGCATACTCTGTACGCTGTCAATTATTCAGCACCATTGTGGACTTCTTCGTGAGACACCAGTTTATTATCGAGACACACCACTGCCTATGATAACAAAAAAAAAAGTAAAGAAACCGTGACTCTGTGTGTCTTGCTACTGCGCGGCGCGTCGTCCTTGTAAATAATATGACGAAGAAAAGAAGGAAGCGAATGGAAAAATACTTTTCTCAATCCACACGTTTCGATGCGACTCTGATTACGCGATGAGGATGAAAAAAAAAAACAGGCAGAATCGCTATGTATGTGAGATGAATACGAAACAAGGATGCTGTGAATGTATTTAGTGTCTTGATCCTTGGACCCGCGTATCCGAGCCGTATCGAATTTGTGCTACGTAAAACAGGAAAAATAGTATGCTGTATTATTTTTAATGAATGTATATAATAATACTTAGGAGGATAGTCGTTTTGCTATGGCTCGATGGACGAGGCCTGTCTCTTTGTTCATGAGTAAGATGAAAAACAAAAGGAAAGATCTAAACTAAGTTTACCATTTCTAGTGTGATTTCTACTGCTGGCCTTGCAAAATCAAAGAAAGATTTACCTATTATATGAAAAGAGATATGCATTATTAATTATTATATCGTGAGAGAAGATTACTACTATATATATAAATATATATATTTTATATTTAATATTAATCGCGCGAATCTGACTAACCGATTATTTCCGCAGAAACCAATTATTCTTCTGATACTGAAATAGGAAAGTATGTTTTCTTATGATTGGTATTTGAGTATGAATTATTCTGTTTTACCCTTGTGCCCCAGCTGCGAGCTCGACACGCCGCAGTTAATAAAGTTCGCCAATAAATAAAATGATACAAATAATTCGCGTATGTTATTCTTTTTTTTATTATTATCCGGACATCCTACTCTTCTTGCTTAGTCAAAATGTGTCAATTTCCAAATTCGGGTTATAATTTAGCTACAAGAGATGCATTTTTAAGATGAGCATTTTTCGTTAGTTCTTGCCAAATCCGCCAGATGGCGCTGTTAAGCGCCTAACCTAGTTTCGGAAAATTCCGGAAGGGGGGAGGGGTGGAAAATTATTAAAAGAGATGAGCAGGGAGATGCACAACGCTCCGGTGTTAGGCGATACCAAAATCATGCCGCATAATCGTAGCGGCAAGTCTGGAAGTAAAATTTTGTGTTCATCGCCTCCGTCGACAATGCAAATTCCGTCGCAGGCGAGCTAAACGCGAACACGAATCTGTAGCTTGGCAGGCAGAGGTTCTCCGCTGCTCACCGCTGGTTCTCAAAGCAACTCTTAGAACGAGACCGGGAACTATAGAACTTCTCAAGAATTACTGAAAAAGCCTATTGTTGAAATATTTTTAAGACATTTTTAAGAAAGTGCCAACTTGACACCCGTGTAGCACCTCAATTTTTACTAAATATTATTGGATTTTGATTTACTTTCAAAATTTATTCAAAATATAAAATTGAAGCTAAATAAACATCTCGCAGAATATACGGAGTAGATAAAATTTGAATTGAAAATGTAGAATATTGAAAATAAATTACATTCAAATTGAAATATTAATAAGTTAAGTGTTTGTAACATTAAAATAATTAATTAAATCAATAAAGTGAAATATTAACACTCAGATATCGGAAATTCAGGCCAAGCACATTTAGAAGTACTGGAAGTTGCCAAAAATTGTGTGCGCGCACATTCGACGCGCAGGACTCGGCGAGTGGGAACAGGCGGCGAGTGGGATCAGGCGGATGGTGGAGGGCGCTCGAGGCAGTGCCCGGACTCGGAGCGCTCATTCTTGCTCGAGCCGGTCTCCTATACTGGTCTCTTGGAATCATTTCGAACCTTCTTTTGCAACCTTCTTGTCTTTCTATATTTATTTCTTCTTTACTTCCTTCTTTATTCATTTCTTTCTTATTATCTTATTCTCACTTCTTTATTTCAATATCCATTTACAACCTTCTCCTTCTTCTATATTTATTTCTTCTTTAATTCCTCATTTCTTTATCTTTCATTCTTCACTTTCTTATGTATCTCTTTCCTCATTTCTTCTCCACTTTTATAACTCTATTCCTTACTTTTCTACTTCTTCACTTCTTCATTTCTATATTCATTTCTTTCTTATTATCTTATTCTCACTTCTTTATTTCAATATCCATTTACAACCTTCTCCTTCTTCTATATTTATTTCTTCTTTAATTCCTCATTTCTTTATCTTTCATTCTTCACTTTCTTATGTATCTCTTTCCTCATTTCTTCTCCACTTTTATAACTCTATTCCTTACTT